TAAAACATCTCAAAGATGTTATTGTCTTTTCTCAACCAGGTGATTGCCCAGCATCTCATCAAATTAATGAATCTGATCTCAATGGTGATGAATATGCAGTAATATGGTATGAAGATCTTGTTCCACTTCAAATCCCGAATGCCGTACCTTTTGACTATGATTCACAGAAAGCATTGCCAGAACTTGACCGACCTGTAAATCAAGACGATATAAATCATGTTGTACTACAAATAGCTGAAAGTGATTATTTAGGACGATTGCCTAATTTACATTTGGCATATACCGATAGTTACGGAGTCGGCAGTAACGAACGACCAAACAAAGATGTTTTATCAACACTCGTACTAGCTGGAGCAATTAGTTTCGGAGTCGATAGTGGACAAACTGGGCAACATCCATTAGATAATAATCAGATACGGAAACAAAAAAAAAAGCATTACGAGATGAACGACCAGATTTCATGGAAAATGCCAATATGAAATCGTATCCATCGAAAAAAATACTTGATAAACATACATTTCAAGAGTATTTTAGAACGGAATAAAAAAGAAAATTTAAAATATAATGGAAACTGCAAGAATCTTGAAATTTCTCTTGTATAAGATTTTTCATGAACCAAAACCTTGTTTTACAATAGAAGAATATTCTATACATTTCTTTTCTTTTTATAGAAAAACTCTATCGTTCATCACGTCGAATGTTGCCTGGATGGAATGGATTTCTTCGACGACATCGTCATTTACAACTTCGAACTCCTGAAGATGATGAAGAAGAACAAGAACCAAATGCTGACGATAGTCAAAGAGACATAATTAGATTAGACTCATCTCTTCTTAATAGAACTCCATTCTGGCAAGATCAATCAATATTAGGAATTGCATCTCAATTATTCTATGTCTATCGGCAAGAAATGCTTGAAATTCTAAATTTATATGGACTTTCGCATGAAAGTGATTTATGGTATCGAAAATCAACGAATACTACTGATGGAGAACTTGAAGACACAGCTTATACACAACTGGAACAGCTTGTTGTACGTACATGTGAAGCTTTCTTCTTACGTTTAGTATGTTTCTGTCAAAGTGATCGACATAACTGTAATGCAAATACAGCTTTCGAAAACTTATGTGAAGATTGCAAGAAAATACAAAGTGCTGTAGCTATTGCATTGTATCAAGAATGTTACAGTGGACAAAATGGATTAGAACGAGCACCAATTCTAAGTTTGCCATGGTTATTTACTACAGCACTTATAAAGACACGTCAAAGAGAATTACCATCAAAGCAAGGTTTACTTGGTATGGCAATGGCAACTGCACTAAACGATCCGATTCATAACCGTTTATTACAATTAGAAGAACTCACACTGAAATTTCGCACATCGAACAGTCGTCGACTCGAAGCAAACGTGCATTGGACTGTTTGTGTTTTTGTTGAAATTCTACACTATTGTATCAAATCAAAATCTTTTGTTTCATGGTCGAAGATACTCCGTCGATTCATGTGTAAAATATCTTCCATGCAACAATCCAATCCAATGGATGAATGATCATTGGTCTTTGGCACCATAGAACAGAATGATTTATATGCTGCCACGCTCATATCAATGCAATGGACTGAGAATGATGATGAATTAATGCATTTTTATTTTGTTGAACTGCTTGAAACTTGCTTTGATCTTGATCGGGTCATGATTGATGATAACGATGAGTATTTACGAATGAGCGAAAAAATTATTCTAATACTCCAACGAATAGCGATCGGCAAAACGCCATGGGGAGAAAATCGTAAATAATGCGATTGTAACAGACTCCAAATTTCACTTCATTATAAAGAACTATAAATGATACTCCACATAAAAATTAACTTTCAGACTCAAATCGAAGCGGATTAATTTCTATTTAATTTATTATCTATGAAATTTTCCTCTGAATATTGCATCCCAACTTCTTGAACAAAAGAGCTTATCATCATATGAAAGAAAATCGGTATATACACCTTCAATATGTATTGAAGACCAAACGGAGGATTATATGAAATAAAATGAGTTCCTATATTTGCGTTTATGTTTGCAAGAACGTCCTATGTGACGTGCGCATATATTAAGCAGGTGGTGACTTCTGATAAAGTTTGATCAAAGGTAATCGGAGTCGAGGAATTCAAATCTGTAATTGATTTCTAAAAATTTCAAGTTTCCGTTCGTTTATCAAAGAAAAGCGTTTTCGCAAAAATAATGGATCTTTCTCGACTGGAACAAGGATTACTAGAAAAAAAGATCACATATGTCTGTATGCGTGTATGTGTCTAAGCATGTTTGTTTGCAATCAGGTGTACAGCTACGTGTCTCCATATATTCCTGAAACCTTTCCGAGATAGCTTTCGATATATGATAATGTGAGTTTTTATGCGAAGCAAACACACAGCAATAAATAATTACGAATCAAGAATAACTAGTATGACTGATTTGAAGGCGAATTTGTCGCGTCAAACTGAAGAAGACTTTACATGAAAAGGTGAAGAATATATAGGTTTCTGTGAACGACAAGCACAAACGTTCTCAATCAAAAAATTATCATGAGATTTAGATCAAAATTTCTTTATTGAGGTACAATGAAATCTTCATGTTGCAGAAAGAGATCAACAAATCTACAGGACGAGTATTAACTGCATATCAAGTATGTCATGGATCGCAATCGGAAAGGTGTAGAATCAAAAGCACAACGATGTCTTTGCTGCCAAAGAGAATACTTATTCCCACAAATTATGTCTGTCAAAAAAGAACATATCATTTATTGTTTCCGAGAATATGAAGAACGAGAATTTCCGGATGTTTCAATTATTTAAAAAAAAAAAGATGTCATACAACAATTTTCAATGATCAAGAGTCGAATATGAGAAAAGAATTAGAGAGAAGAGAGACATTGAGAATTAGTTTTGGATACCTGTAATTCCCATTCCTATTATACTACCTAAAATGTCAATCTCATCGCTTTAAATTTGTTTATCTTCTTATTACATTGACTACAAACAGTTCATGTTCAACATGCTTATAAGAAGTGCAATGTTTATCGGTTTCTTGGATACTACATAAAATGTCCTGAACAAGAAAATAAAGCATCACTTCCTTGATGATACACGAAATTGAGCAGTCGGGAATATCGATCCGTAGGGATGCTGCTGATCAACTGCGAGCTGTCTCTAAACGTTCGGTCTGTTTGTAAAATGGTCATTACTGACGATATTATATAAACAGTTCTTTTGACACAAAGATACATCTCAGTTTAGAAAAATTTATTATACAAACCAAGTCAGTACTATTGCCTCACTCTTTATGTATGATGAATTCATTGTATAATCATAAATACAGATTTTCATTTTTTTCAAGCCTTTCTCTTGTAAGATCTAATGCAATTAGTGAAGATGTGTAACGAAGGTCTCACGTTGAATTAGTATTAGAATCAAATATAGATTTACAAATATTACAATCTGTCGATCTGCTAGTAGATCAATTGTTACAAGTGTCTTATTAATTCTATTGCTTTTGTTATCTCATAAAAAATGTATAATGAAAGTTTGTTGAAAGTTGACTATATGAAATACTTTCGAGAACACTAAATTAGAAAAATGGAATAAGAGCATTGAAGTCTTTTTTTACTTTTTTTTCCGGCCACATAGAACACGAAACGGGTTGTCGTCTAGAAGAAAATCCTTCACTTAAGACAAAAAATATTATGATTAAGATTAAAGTATAAGAAATTTTAATCTCAACTACATGATTAAGTGAAATATATGTCCATCACATAGTATAAAACATATTTGTATCGATTCTTTCTATGTAAGGCTAGATCTTTTGTATTTTTTTCTAGCACAATAGTAACCTAGAATAACACTAATTCAGTTATTGTCAAAAAAATCCAGCAAAAATAAGTTGATAAATAGAGCATCTCCTAGTATTGAAGAGTCTATACGAAGCACGTATATATTTATATTTGAAGATAAATTTTGTGAAACACGATCTGAAAGGAGTGTTGAAGTGTTTAGGGGTAGAAATTTGCACCCACACCCCCCGCCCACACAGACCGTGACAGAGAACCCTGGTACCCATCACAGACCATGACAGAGAAACTGTAGTTGTAAAGCACCAGATAAACGGTTAGCTACAAATGTGTCGCAACGAAATGGAACAAAAGGATTTCCATTTAATTAGTAACAATAGATCCATCGTGTTTCACATTTTTAATTCCGCAAGGGATTGCGCTAACAGCTTTTATGAGTGGTATACCAAGTCGATATATAGAGTCTTATACCTGTTCATGGTTCGAAAAGGGTGTGAGTGTGGGGTGTGGATGTGATTGTGGGTAGAGAAGAAAGTGGCATACACCTACACCTCCCCCCCCCCCCCCCCCTAGTCTTTCTATCAGCCGTATGCACCCTCAAAATGGCTAGAGATATACTTCTGATCATCAGGTCTTTTCATAGAAATGTGTCAATTCGTAATTTTATTATGCATCAAGTATCAGTATACTAATCTTTACAAAAACATCATATGATGAGACGATTATGTCGTGGACACTGAAAACGCTGAACAAATACTATGCGGGTACGCAAAAGTGATATGGTATACATATAAACAACTCAATGTCTTGTCTAAGATATTTGGCTTTCTCTGTTCAATTGTTGCATTCGATTCCATTCATGCCATTCTTCAGATGACAAATCATCAGGTTCACGTTCGGGTCCTTCTATCCATTTCCATCGTTGTGCTATTTCGCACAGAATGAAGAGTAGTATCATTGTAGCATAGCCTACAGTGAATTGCCATCCATCATCTGTTTTGCTATACAAGATGCCCAAGTTCGATGAATGAATTAAACCGAAGAAAGAGAGTAGACCCGCTAAAAACGACCATACGGCACCGCGAATGAACTTTCGGTCGATCATATACATGATGATTGCTGTAATCAGAATGCATTGAAGAAGACTGCCGCCAGCTAAATTTGCAAGTCCATGATAGGAGAAATCAGTTATACGAGAAGTAACATTTTGAGTAAAGTCTACGTTCGGTAAGGTCAGATTTAAGTAGGCAACTGCAACACCGTTAATTATTGTTCCTCGTGCCCAGTCAGCCACTACAGGTGTTAAACCGAGAAGAAAGGCAGGATAATGACGTGAAGGTGTTATTGCAAGAGTTTCAGCACACATATAAAGACCAATGAAGATCTACTTGTATAATTGGAGAAGTAATTGATCCAAAAAAAACACAAAGCACTTACAATGACCGGATTAACAGCGACAACAGCGATCATCCTGACAAAAAGGGCGATTATACCAAAAAAGCACAATGGTACATAGGCCAAACAATTGATCAATGAATATGCTTGTCGTGCACCCATCCTCTTATATGCTGGATGACCAATGTAAACTATAGGTCAGAGAAAAACATAGTAATCAAATTGCTAATAACTTCTTTTGTAAAGTATGATTGTTAAGAAGAGTGGAAGTGCAGCTGATCGCCACTACCATCTTCGGCCTGCCCGACAGATCCTCTACGGATATGTTCATATGATATTTTAGACCTCGGACTTTAGATTTTCAAGAAGTTTTTGGATTTTCAATCCGTTGGATCTCTCGAAGTCAAAAAATTCCGTTTTTCTTTCGCGTAATGTGACATTTTAGCCTCTATCACCAACCATGACAAACATTTGAAGGGTGGATGAAGGCGTAGGTAATGAATTGAAACCATACAAAACTAACGCAAATCGCTTGAACTGTTCAAACGCTATACTTTATCGATAGATTTTTGGACTATTCTGTAGATACAATAATTCTACATCTTTGGTTCCGTTTAGCAACACATATTTCTACACATCCCTCACGATATAAAACCTCTTAGGATTTTTACGACATGTCTGTCATGATTTGCATGGAAAGGGAATAGGTCCAAGTTTCTTGTAATGCACTTCAATATTCATTAGCAATCGCATTTCACAGAGGTATCCAGGCTGAAAACTGATTTTACTGCTGATCATTTTATGCAGAACTCTATGAATGCTCTGAAGCAGGGAATCCATAAGCATGATTGTTGCGAGATTTGGATAAAGAAAATTTTATCGTATTGATGAATGTGGGCGTTGATGTGCTAAAATATAATCATAGTTAATCAATCCTCAAGAGATAATGCTCAAGTACAAAAACACATGTTTAATTCCAGTATCACTGTACCGTTTAAGTAAAGTTGAAGTTCAGGAAAGAGTTTATTAATTGATGACATTCTGATAGATGTCGCGCTTGTCGATATGCTTCAACAATAGCTTTTCTTCCGCTAGTTTACATCGTATTCATGATATCTAGCCTGAAGCAATTCTTCAAACTCATCGATATCACCGATAATCGCACTAATCTCTATTGTATGCTTCGTAAAAATGATTACAAAGACAAACTTTGTATCTTAAGTAATTTTATAAAGCGTTTGAAGAGACCAAAACAGCTGCAGATCAAACTCTTGATTGCTGAGAATTTGATCACTAAATGCAACCTTTCACCAACTATCCTAGAACATTAATTACTTCGAGAACTTCCCAAAGACTTGTATATCATATGGTATCCAATCTTGTCAAAGAGAACCACGATTATCAAAATACAATCGTTAATATCTAGTATTTGTCGAAAAGTCGTAAATATTTTTAACCATCTTGACGAAATTAGCATTACGATAGATCTCTGAACTAATCACTCTTGTCATTTGTTTCTCAGTGTTCGGACATATTTCATCGCCGAGAAATCAACAAAATATATTTTTCATTGATTTTAGGCAAATGAAAATTCCATGAACGGATGACAATATACGAGAAAAAACAGATACTATTCTCGAAAGTCAAGGATTGCTAGAAAAAGTATTTCAAATTGCTATGGACAATACCTCAATGATGATAAAAGCCTATACAAATTCTGTCAAATCGTCGATGATGACCTTATCGATGATAGTGACAAGGACCATAGTAAATTTGACGTAGACAACAACAACAGTGAAAAGAAAGAATGTATGTAGTATTTTGATATTTGTTTCTACAGATCCTATATAATGGTGTTGATGGAATAAGAAATCAGCTATCTGTGTCACCATGAGCGAGTGTTTGTTATCGGTCTTTAGACGATGTCGACGCTGGTCTTTTCGAAGTCTCTTGTTACTGTGATAAAGCCTTCAGCGACGATGACGATTATGATAATATTAGCCTCACATCGGTGTCGTGTTTCATGCATTTTTTGTAATTGTCGTTCAAGATGAGTTTCATGAGATGCGATACATTTCGAAAGGTTTGTACAAATGAAAGCATTTGATCACTACTTCTCAAAAGTGGATGAAGATTCCAAGTTCATTGGATGATTTTCACACAAACATCGACAAAACCAATTGTGTATCGGTGAAATAATAATTTTTTTTTGATGAAATCAATTGCAAAATGTTCGCAAACGAGATTTAGATGATATTGCTCTAGTTGTGGGCAATTCAATTTCAATCAATTCCACTAATTCGTTAATTTTCTAATAATCTACTGCTTTCATGGAGCCCTTCTTCGACGTAACAATCAGATGTCCAGTGAAAACAAGTGTCATAGTGAGCTCTTACTTGATTATCAATATCTATGTGATCAATCATGATCTCAAATATTTTCAAAAAATGTCCCATGGATCGTCAAATAGTTATACGATCCAGTGGTGATAGATGCTGAATCATTTAGTGACCCTGTCTATTTTGTGGCAATCTCACTCTATGCATTATTGAAATTCTTTCAGATGCATTATCTGAAGTTAGAAACAAGCATCCAAACAAAATTGAAAAAGTTCGTAAGTCATGCAATCTTGAACAAAATCAATTTTTTAGTGAACAGGCAGGAGCATTCATTAATCACTACAATCAAATATTTCGGTGACCTCGAGCAAATCTCAAAGTCAATCATAAATACAAATACTATTTCATTACGATAAGATCGATCGCGGTTCGCATTAAAAACTCAATTACTAATCCTCAGTCAGATCTCCACATATTTCTCGATGGTTTCGTCAAATCAAAACCAGCGTACTACCCACATATATCATTGTCTTTTTTGAAACAAATCGTCGAACGAATTCTGACGGTGCAAGTTTTATCAGCATCGATCGAATGTGGCTTTTCACACGCTGGTCTGGATTTACCTTTCTTTCGAGGAGTTATGTGTGTCATTGTCTTCGATAAATTATTTTAGTGATACTGAGCAACATGCTATTTTTGTATAATGATATACAAGTACATTACCCATCCAGAGAGTAAATCTAATGTGACCGAACGAAGACCAAGCTTTGTTATTTGAAAATGTTCAATGGTCGACTGTCATTAGCAATATTAAATACAAATTAAAAAGAATGTTCTCTTCTTGAGATATTGAATATTTAAAACACTCTTGTCTGATTGTTCATTGTGATGCATTATCGGTTTTTTTTTGAGTATCCAATATCTCAAAAAGAAAATTTTTCAGGATATTCTCACGACCATCAGATCTAACTATGGGGGAAACGAGGTTGAAATTTCATAATTTAGATTTCTTTTCATGTATACCTTACAATAGGCCAAGAATATGATAAAATGTCTATAGATTTAGAAGAGCGAAGTGGTGCATAGAGACGAACCACTGAAGACTTCTACGGATCTAACCGAGCTCGACAAACTGGTGCGTCTTCGATTCAAAATGGCGCGTCACAATTCCAGACCTTCCGTCCCACTTTCAAAAACAATCGAGAACCACATCAAAGGGTAGAGTTTTCCAAAACAAGATGGGTAATAAGTGGTAAAATATGAAGCGGGTAAGTCGAATGCTCTCTCTCCGCACAGATAGTGACAGATATTTCAATATATTATTATAGTCTATGTGACCCTCAGGTATAATACAACCGATTTGAATAGAATGCTTTTAACAAGTGACATGGATATCTCATGTTTCACATATTTATTCCACAAGTTTACACTTAAAACTGTCTCTCAAATACTACGAAGCTGCAACTTAGTTTTTCTTCTATTCTAAGGTAGCAAGAAGTAAAACCAAAATAGCCAGTTTCTAAAATGAACGTGGGATATATTGGCGTTTGAAAAAGTATTAACTAAACTTTTCATATATTTCTGACTGTAATCAAACATCCTTTATACTTTTGTGAAGAATTTTACTGATCATCTTGTGATTAAAGCCAGCGAAAATAATCGAAATAGTATGCATGAAAAGTGAAAATCAAAATGTGACTCATTTTCCTAACAATTTGCAACAGTGGAGAAACAGAAAGTTGTGGATCAACTTGGTGTTATTTTTCACTATGAACATAGTTTACTGGGACTTCATGAACTGAAGGGCTGTACATATAGAGAACTCCAATAACCAGAAAGTAGACGGATCTTATAATTCTTGAGTCGCCCGGCTGAGGCTTCGCTGACGATTAACATGATCTAATAGATACCTTTCAGAAAGTCCCTTTCTATTTCAACTCACGAAAGCCGACAATATTTTTTAAAAAGAGAAAATCTCAGATAACTGGAAAAATAAGGTATCATGAATCTACCAACAAAAGTACATAAAATAGAATTTTCCTGACAAATAGAAAATAATAATTATTTTAAACAAGACTAAAACATCTCACCGGTCATGCCAAGAATTGAGCCAAATAGACTTGCAAATATTGTTCCCACACCATCAGCAAACATGGCCTCACGAGTCGGGTAGAAATCTCCGGCTCTTCTTGCTGATTCAACGCATTGCACAGTTTCAATAGCAATTGAAATAGCTGTTGGAATAGTGATGGATAGGTACGGGCCGATACGATTCATATTCTCGAACATACCTTGAACAGGAAATACTGGCGCATATGGTTTAACTAATTTACTGGCATCACGTACATCTTGTGCCTCGTTTGTTGATGTTGCCCAGCCGAGAGCAGTGCCAACAATTAGAGCTACAGCAGCTATCGGTAAAGAGCCAATTTTGACTAAGCGAATAGAAAGAAATGAATGACCATAACCAGGAAGAAGTGAAATGCTGAAAATGCCGTTTAAACTGTCATAATCACCCGTTCTGTTAGGAAACGATGATAAACGGCAAGAAAAAACGTGATCATCACTTTTCTTGCCGTTTTTACATCTAGTCAGCGTTTTCAAGCGTTATTCACATTAAATAATCTCTGAAACGGTTATATAAGTCATTTTCTTCTTCGTAAAAGATAGTGAGAAATGTTAATTGATCATCTTTTCCAACGAAAACAGCTGTAAATGCTCAAAGTAGATAAAAATTTTTTTTTTGGGACTGGTTCCCGTAAGTATTTATATTCTCTTGAATTTGTGTTTTTTATTGTTTCACAGTACGTGTGAAAGACATTTAATCCGTTTGAAGCTTCCATTTATCTTGTAATCTGCTGAATTAATTCCAAAAAGTTTTCGCTGTAGATTTAATTATGTGAAAAAGAGTTCCTTTGGTTAAAGTAAGAATCCGCATAACATTGACATCATATGAATCAAAATCATGTGTTGGTGTGAACATTAGAATATCGAGAAAATACAGGTTGATTTTATTGATTTAAAGTCTCAATTTTCACATTGAAATCCTAATTTTTTGATTATGTTCAAAGCTCGAAACGTACGATAAATTATAAGTTCCTAATATTCTCAAACATAAAATTGCTGCATTAGAGTTTTCATCACAAATTATTAACTCATCAGTATATGAGCTAATTGACTCTCGTTTTATGACAAGCAATACAACATTATTAATTATGAGCTACATAATCCAATTAGAAACTCTAGTCAAGTCAAAAGAGAGTAATATTTTCAGTTAATATATATTCGACAAATGTATGTGGCATAAACAGAACGGATCTCATATGCTTAGTAATTGATTGTTAGTCTTAATCAAATTGGAGAGATAGAAAAGCAAAGGGAAGAAAAGAAAAAAGTCAGAGAAGAGGGAGGAAAAAAGAATAAAGTTAGCGAAGAACAAAAGAGAAAATATTTTCGTCCAGCACATTCATTTATTGATTCGATGAAGATTGCTCAATAAGTAAACATTACTTCTGCGAGCGATGTGAATGCACACAAAGATAAGATACATAAATGATATCTGAATTTAATCTAAAATACTATTCAGATTACGAAGAAATTCACATATTTACTGTATACGAATTGTGAATAAGGATTCTCATTGACCGTTGGTCGAGCTTAGAAAACATGAGCAAAAAGATTCAGATAACTCTAATAGAAGAAGTCTTCAGAATTGAACGACGTAGAGAATTTAGTTTCACCTTACGTTCTGCGTTTATTTTTGCTTTTTCTTAGGATAATATTTGTGGAAAACTTTCTTGTACATTCCATCGAGATAGTTGACAAAATACGATATTCGTAGAAAAAATATATAATATAGAACTTATTTGTCATTTGCTAGCACCACATTCCATAATAAAATCATTAGTGAAACTAAGCTAGTTAACATTTTTTAAACTGATTTATTAAGATCAATCAGGGTGACGTTTTGTTCTAACCAAGAACATTATCAAACACAAATAAATAGACAGAAGAAGAATATATATAAGAGTAAAATAATGTCTTCGTTTTTCTATTCTATTGTTTCAAGCATTTCAATGCACGGGGGAGGGTGGAGTAAAATTGATCCGTCTGCATTAGAATGTTTAAAACAATAGAATAGAAAAACGAAGATATTATTTTACTCTTATATATATTCTTATTCTGTCTATTTATTTGTGTTTGATAATGTTCTTAGTTAGAACGAAACGTCACACTGATTGATCTTAATAAATCAGTTGAAAAAAATGTTAAATAGCTCAGTTTCATTGTTGATTTCATTTTAAAGCTTGTTATTTTACTGAGTTCGTCGTCGATTGAAACTTACACGAAGAAACTTTAATTTTTTAACTCTTATATCATAAAAAGAATATAATGCTGAGTATATATTCCGTTTTCAGTATAAATCTTAAAAGAACAACTAAATGATAAATATGCATAAGTCATAAAGATTACAGTAATCAAATAAAAAACTTAGCTGCTCTATTAACTTTTGTAGCAATAAACTATTTATCTACGACAGACGACTGTTAAAGAATGAGAAAAAAAAATAGTCTCAACAATGAATAAATTTTAGAAGTACGTCAATAGTGTTGCTGTTCAATATTTTCTTTTGATAAAATATACCAAAAAATTGACATCGTTTTATGTATGGTATTTTTCCCCTAGAATTTTTCGTTTGTCGTATCAATTCATTGATTCTTCTTAAAAATCTAAGTTTCATTATCACATACATATCTGATACTAATAAACTAATTTAGATTCTTCTTTCCTTATTCATCAAGATTATCATAAATCACAACTTTGTAACTAATTATATATTTCTCCATAGATATTAGAATAAACTAGACTTGAGAATTCATAACGAAAACTTGAAAGGATTTCGATAGAATATTTATCAGATGTAAGACAAACGCATCATCCTTGAGCGATTGACAAATTTCTAATTACCTACGAAGAGTATAGAAAAAAAAATTTAGAAGACGATCGATGTGTCAGCAGAAAAAGCGTAGTCAGTTTTTTGTAATATCTAAACGCATTCTAATGAGTAGGTCTCATTTTGTTTTCGAAAAAGCAGAAGTTAAATTTTCAACAAGTTAAAATATTTATTTAAAGAAATGAAAGTTCATGCATCTTTAAAACATAAGGCATAAGTAGAAGTCTTTTAAACAAATATAAAAAAAAAGAGAAGTTTGTATAAAAGACTTCTATTCATGTCTTATGTTATATAGATGCCGAACTTTCATTTCTTTAAATAAATATTTTAACATGTTAAAGATTTAACTTATGCTTTTCCGAAAACAAAATGAGACGTACTTATTGGAATGTAGTGAGATATTGAGAAAAAGAATGAACGTGTATTGTCCATCATCAAATTAATAAATTTAGATGAATGGTCAAGTTACAAGTAAGACGAAGATGATTCTTGAATATTAAACCTTTTTTTCAAGTAAAGAATCGTTTACGACACATGAAATAATGAAAAATTCTGGTTTTAAGGTCAACGAATCACTATTTATGACATTTACAATTCGAAGTTTAAACGACAAGAACATAATATTACTTTATGACATACAAAATCATTTTTTATGATAAACGCGTAATTTGGTCAATATACCATCGTTTTAACGGCAGAACAGCGTTTCCTCAACTAACTGAGATAAGCTCTCTCAGGACAGACTCTACGGGATTAAAAGTGAAACATTACATGTCAGTCCATCACAACTAGATACCCGTGACATCACACCTGTAATATTCATTCGGCTGGTATCACAGATGCGGACCTATTTATACTCGTGAGAAACTGTGATGGACTGACATGGAAAGCTTTGCGATGTTATGTTTTTTTACTGTCTATGGTAAATCCAACGTATTTTTTATAGGTCGTAATAATTACCATAGAAAAATGTCTGTAACAATCTGCGCAGCATCATAAACTCGAGTTTCTGGCAATACACATCACATTTCATCAATAATTATCTTTCGTAAAGACATTCGCGCTTACCTTTCCCATAATAACCGAGAATGATGATGGAAAATGGTAGAAACGATACTATCGGTGTAGCAAGCACAGGCAAATACTGATTCAGTGCCAAATAGGTAAAACCAATGGCAGATATAGATGAAAGAAGTGCAACGCTGGGTGTATTCTTTCTAATGAACTCGCCAAACAAGCACAGAAAAAGTATAATGATTCCCGTTATGAAGTTACTTCCTAACGCAATGTACCAGGCAATCTCTTGACACATTCGCTTGTCCTGTCCGTTGCCGTCACCTATACACCGGTAATACGCAGGAAATATTATGCCAAAGATAAATGCAACTGAAAACAAATAAACAGAAATGCAAACAATGACTAGTAATAGTTACATGCTCCTGGTGTATTAATCCCATACGGCATTGTGCATACATCACTACGTTTCTCCTTGTAGGCAAGCTTTCGAGCCATGTAAACATAATAAATATTACCCCATAACATGGCCAGAGCCACGCTAAATTAAAAAGTTGTTAGCGCAATCCCTGCGGGATAAAAAATGTGAAACACGATGGATCTATTGTTACTAATTAAATGGAAATTGTTTTGTTCCATTTCTTTGCGATACATTTGTAGCTAACCGTTTATCTGATGCTTTAGAACAATAGTTTCTTTGTATCGGTCTGTAATGGATGATCAATGATTACCTAAGGAAATATTAATTGGAAATTAATCAATTAATTAACTAATTACTTTCTCTGCGACAGTCCATGATGGTCTCTGGAGTGCCTGTGTCACGGTCCGTCTGGGGAGGGGAATGGGAAGGGGAGAAGGGGAGTGGGTCCAAAATTTCTACCCTATGCACTTCAACACTCCTTCCAGATCGTGTTTCGCAAAAAATGGTAGAATACGCTTTTTCTCAACTTTCAGTTTTTACCCAGTTACGATCTTTCCATACACAATGTCAGGATCAAGTACAGGTTGAAGTGCAAGAATAATTGCCAATAATGTTGCTAAATTATCAATAAATAATGCAACAAGTCCATCAATGTCACCTGGTAGAAATAGAGGATATTTCGAATTTCGTCGAAAAGCATTAAGCCATTCTTTTGGATGAAATGACAATAGTATACGTATTTCATCAGATAAATTAAGCCACTGCTGTTTGAAAAAACAGCTAATCGTCCCGGTTTTCACAATTACTTCTCTTGGACACTCTTCAATCGATAATCGTTCTTCTTTTGGCAGCGTATAGCTCGAAGAAGACATCTATGCCTGAAATAACTACATAATGAAAAGAAAAGAAGTCATTGCAAGAACAAATGAAGAATGATGAGCTTTCATTTCTGTCCAGAGGGAACGGTGGTGAGCAGAGATGGGTACGTTTCGGCTCACAATTTTTCAAACCGACCTCGGTTTCGGTTTGGTTTCGAAAAAACATGAACCGAGCCCATCGAAAAACAGTTTTTCAATGCATTTCTTAGCTTATTTTAAATTTCGGTTCGGTTCATTTTTCGAAAAACGTGAACCGTGCCCATCTGTGGCTGTGAGGATAAGGAACCATAGGCGGAGAAAAGCTCATATAGTATATGATGTTGAAACAAGAGCACAGAAAACAATAACTAAGATTTAAATCAGAGCTGCTGACGGAGAACATATTCTGTTCTATTTAGTAGTAGGACAAAAATTACTTACGGTTGACGCACAATTCTATTGAGGACGTAAGTATCAATTTGGACTAACAATGCCGCAATGTAGATGTGTATGAGTTTTGATTATATGAAAAGCTGCATCTTCACATTCATCTACATCCTCAGAATAATGATCGAAGCTGAACCACAAAGATATATCAGTGGATTATCATAAGGCATAGCTTGAACTCTTTCCGATGGTTAAAAGGATCACTCCAACATTGTATTTATACCACATCAGCTATATGGACACATAAAAAGGTACGCTGAGAAGAGCTCAAAATGGTTTCTCCAGAAGTGTCGAAAATTATTCTTCATCCGAACATTGTCTGGAGAAAAGATAGCGTTCATGGCAGACTCGAACGTCAGAGGGCTTTGCAATGAGGGCAAGCAACCATGATTCAAGATTATCAATCTAGGTCTCGCAATGATTCTGTGTTGTCCCAGCAGAACTCTAGTCAAGGTCAATGTGTGTAAATGCTTTAGATTACTTTGTTTGTCTGTGTCTCTCATGAAGGCACTCTACCAGTATTTGCTTTCTGTTATGGAGGTACCTTGTCATAAGATCAATTTGAGCGACTTTGAAGAGTTTTAGAAAATTTTTGTTCTGTGATTCATACATCTTTAATAAATAATCAAATCACATAGATATAAAATATGAAAACAAAAAACCCTCATCTTCTGTTTTTTTTCTAAAAAAATATAAAAGTGTACAAGAAATTTTTGTAATACGTTTATCCCCACAACAAAAACATTTTCTGACATGAAAAATCAAGATTAAAACAGGATGTGAAGTTAGATCGATCACATGTAGAAACTAATGAAGCTGATAAAAATTATTACTTTCACTTAGTGGTAATCTATTTTGGTTAACCTGAGAAAACGATATCTGATTTATAGTTAATGAAGAAATCAAACATACATAAAACTGATTAACTATGGAAAGAAAATTGGTAACAAGAAATCTACTGTCTTGAACGAACAAGAAATCATTTTATTGTCTCTTATATACATATGCATTTTTTACTACTCTTATCGTATGTTATTTGAAGAAGGAGATTAGCCAGAGCGCAGTAACCAATTATGACAGACGTCCCGTGCTTGCAATAAATCTCAAGAATAGAAGTCGTTAATCTTTCTTTGACAAGAAAGATAAATATGCAAAAAGACAAATGACAACTGAGAAATGTCGCTTATTATTATGCTTTTACGTGGCCCATGTTCTTTGCCAACAGTATTATAAAATGTCGTCGTAGTTAACTAAAACCTGATATTGTTAAGCTCAGCAGATGAGCAAATGAAAATGTCAATGGATCTGTTGACATCAGAGTCAGTTTTTCATGTTTGGTAGCCGAAAGTTAAACGATCGATCGTTGAGAATGAATCAACTCCATTTGTGATGGCGCATTGTATTGATTTCGGTGTTTATCGATTTCAATCTGCGAGTATTCAGAGGAAGTTAATCGAAGAGAAAGAATCGAGCGCCTAGAATGATTTGATTTTCCAAAGAGAGAATGATGATGATTATTGATGAAATTGAGTCAACAATACATTTGACGAATGTTATCTTTCGTTATCGAATCCAATTTCGAACTCTCGTCGAAGTAAGAAGGGTGTGGGTGTGTGGATGTTGGTGTGGGTGGGGATGAAGATGTGGGTGGGGGTGAGAGTGTGGGTCAAGTCAGCTATAGCAATACCCACATCCACATCCACATCCACATCTACACCCACACCCTCAAGGAAATCAGTGAAAATTAGAATCGTTGCCAAGATTGCTCTAGATCTACGACTTTGTTTTTGAAGAAGTAGGTTGGATTTATATGAACGCTATAAGTAGACCGTACATTATGAATCACAAAAACCCATTACAAAACTACAATTTTCAATAAAAATCGAGAAGAAATCGATGAAAACTGTCTTTTTGAACGATTTCATCGCGATATCATCTCATAATTAATCAGACTAATAGATAGCCACAAAATCGTCGATATTTAGGCAACTATCGCTACATGTGAAGGTATTAAGCTAGTATTTTTATGTTGGAATGTTTTTGTATAAATTAATCAAACTCTAAGTAATTATTGAGATCGTCATTATCTCTGCTATCTTCAAATATGACTAATAAGTTAAAAACAATCGATGTAATATTCTGTAATTCAATTAAACACTCAATTTTTTATGAACGGTAACAATCATACAATAAATTGAGCAATGTAACTATATCGTGCATCATACTTTTCAAGCAAAGTTTCTCTTAATGTTTAATAAAATATATTTTCATCTTCAAAATAGTTCACTCATGATCATTGTATATTGTGTTCAGAAAGCATTTTATAATAAGCTCCACGTTGTTGTGTCAATTCTGCATGAGTACCACTTTCCACTATATGTCCTCTATCAAGTACACAAATCAAATCACATGAATGAATAGTTGAAAGACGATGAGCAATAATGAGTGATGTTCGACTAGAATCTTTTATTTTGTAGGGGAGTAAAGAGTATAAAATGAAGTAAAGAAGCGTATAAGGCAAAAGTAATGGAATAGCAAAATTCTTGAATTCTGCTACTGCTGACAAAATGACGATGTTATTTTTATGTGGAAAAAAAAACAGGTGTCTGATTAAAATATCATAATGAATGATAGAAAAAGCAAAAAGACGATAGATGTTCTATGAAAAAAACGACGCATCTCATTAATATTTGGTCGTTAGTTATTTCACGGACACAAATGAAGGCACACAAGCGAAACTTCTATTAGTGATGTGCATATAAGTGACGTTTCTTCAAATTGAAAAATATATTTCTTCGTCTTTTTTCCAAAGTAAAAGATTTCAAGCAAAATTCTGCTTGGAATCAAAATTTTAACGAAATTCTACTGTAAAAACATAATTCTCAGCAGAAGTTTAATTTTGTAGGGGGATGTGTGTATATGATAAAGAACAATTCTGTTTGGAATCAGAATTCTAACACAATTCCGCTGTCGAAGGAGAATTCTCTGGAGAACATTGATTTTGTAGGGGAGAAAAGAGTATAAAATGAGGTAAATAATCGTATAAGACAAAAGTAATGGAACAGCAAAATTTTTGAATTCTGCTGCTGCTGACAAAATGACGATGATATTTTTATGTGGAAAACAACAGTTGTCTGATTACTATATCATAATGAATGGTAGAACAAGCAAAAAGGCGATAGGAGTTCTATGAAAAAAACGACGCATCTCATTAATATTTGGTCGTTAGTTATCTCACGGACACAAATGAAGGCACACAAGCGAAACTTAAACTAATGATGTACATATAAGCGGCGTCTTGTTTTTATTTCTAGTATACAATCACGTCGGTATATTAGTGTTATTCTGGTCGTCAGTACACAAGGTTTCGTATAATACAAAGAGCAAAGTAAGTGTTTTGAAATTGCATTTTCTGTAGAGAGCGTTTTTTTATCAGCCCATGTTAAGTGAATTTTTCTATTCTAAAATAGTATCACTAAGCTTATAATATACATTTTTTTTTCGTATGATACTCTTAATTTTCCTGCTGACAAAAATGTTCTGAAATTCTGTGCGAAATGAATACCCATGTAAAAAAAATTAGGGGTAAAATCAGATTAAAAATCGATTTTTAATCAAAAATAATCAAAAAAATCAAAATTTCATACATAATTTTGATTAATTCTGATTAATTTCGATTATAATCGATTAAAATTTGTTAAGAAAAATCGATTTTAATTGATGCAAATCGATGAAAATCAGCTGAAGATTTTTCTATGCATCATGAACAAAAATCAATTAAAACCGATTTTTCTCAACAAATTTTAATCGATTATAATCGAAATTAATCAGAATTAATCAAAATTATGTATGAAATTTTGATTTTTTTGATTATTTTTGATTAAAAATCGATTAAAAGGTGTATGATTTTAATCGATTTTTAATCATTTTTTAATCGATTTTAATCTGATTTTACCCCTAATTTTTTTTGGATGGGCCTTTCGGATACTAACTCAGTTTATCTTCTAATATGGGTTTTCGACAATACCTTTCCAGTTTCCGAGACAACATTTGGGTTTCCGACAGCAAGAAAAAGGTATTCTAGAATACTTTTAGAGTGTCCAATTGGGGAGTGTAGGAAACCTCTAGGTTTCCGAACGTTCGGAAACCGAAAGGGTATTTTTAGAAACGCTTTCACTGTTCTGAAACCCTTTCGGAAACGGATAAGGGTTTCCGAGTGGGTTTCCGAACCCCTTTCGATTTTCTAGGATACTGAAATTTTTTAGAGTGTACAAGGCAGAGAAACCCAATCTCTATTCAATAAAATAGAGTATTCCAGCCCATGTCTTCTCTTCTACTTGATTCTCTAGTATTTCACTAGAAATGTTGCTTTTTAAAAATTGCATAATAATTTCGATAGTTTTTATCGATTTATGATATGTGATTAATATCGCAATTAATGGATTAGCAAAATTACTCAGGTCGTTCAAACCAATCGAAAACCTGTGGCTAGCCACGCATCTCGTACATAATTTTTGGAACTCTTACAAAAGTGTTAGACGTTAATCCAAATCACGTTTCCATTGTAA